AAACAAACAAGGCCTAATTGATATACTAGCGTGTATATTAATCGGTACATATGTCACCGCCATTCGAAAACAGTGACAAGAAGGTGATGAATTTTTGTTTTCTGATAGCCATTGAATCTTATCATTTTTTTTCTCAAGTAGTTCATGTTTTGTATTGTATTTTATGGCACAAAACAAAAAAATAAAAAAGTCTAAAGAGACCAAATCCAGCCCCAAGCCCAAATTTGAGTGAGATTGGACTTAGTCTAAGATTTTCCATACATGGCTCAGCCTAATCCAAATTTTGGCAGAGCCCGCGACCTGATGATGGGCCAGCCAGCGGATGGAGCGGGCTGTATTTACGCCCCTAGCCATATAACCGAATCCACCGAATTGGGATAGAGATTGGGAACTGGGTTTTGAAAATGAATAATGTTATTTGAATTAATTAATTTTTGAGTATTAATAATTTGAATAATAAGTATAGTCAGTAATAATAATATAACATTAGTTGATATATTAGTGTGTATATTAATTGATACATGACACCGCCATTTGAAAACAGTCACAAGAAGGTGATGAATTGTTGTTTTCTAATAACCATTGATGAAACAAAATAGTGCTCAAATTACTCCATACTGTAATTTTAATGGGGACAGCCATATGTAGAATAATAATATATTTACAGAATTTATATATGGTGTGGTGGTAGTGTTAGGATTGTGGTTATGGTGGTGGTAAGTGGTGTTTGGCACAGTAGTAGTAGGGTGGTTGTGGTGGTAGACAATGGTAATAGGTGGTGGTAGTTGGGTGGTAGTTGTGGCAACGGTGGTGGTGGTGATAATAAGGTGGTAGGGTAGTAATAGCAATAGTAGAGCAGTGGTGATAAAAAGTGGCGGTGGTAGGGTAGTGGTAATAGGTGATTGTGGTAAAGTGGCGGTTGTGGTGGCGGCGATGGTGGTAAGGTGGAGGGTGGTTTGTGGTGGCGGGGACGATGGTAAGATGGCAGCAGTAGGGTGGTGATGGTTACGGTGGTGAGGGAAGGGGACGATGGTGGTATAAAGGTAGAAGAAGGGTAACAGTAGCGGTGTCAGTAACAAATGGTGCTAGTAGTTAATTACTCACAGACACTTGTTATAAAACTGCATGATAGAATGGAATGCTTATCTTTTATATGGTTTTTGAATTCATAAAATTTAGGTCAATCATTGCATAAGGATTTTTAGATTGGTGCAATTAATTTTAATAACATAAATTTCAATTAATTTTAGCGGATTGCATTCTACATAATTCACTATTTTTAAAATTTAATTACATTTTATTTTTCAAATATTGATTTGCTTAGTCCATTCAAGTAGATCATCATTGGCATTTGCCCTTAATATAATAAATAGTAGGGGTGCAAAAATGATTTGTCGATCCAAAGTTCGTCTATGGCCCATCTAGGTCTAAGCTTGTGCCCAACCCGAACTCCTAAGCATGGGCCGTTTGTTTTTTGGCCCGACCCTCTGTACACCCCGTTTGGCCCAAAATTCCCCCCTCAACCCAGCCCAGCACTCAACCTCTCCAATGATCCAATTGTTTTTCAAAATATCATATGACAGTTTGGCCCAATTTTTCATTTTTATTTAACAAACACCCCCCTCCAATTACTATAAATACACCCCTCCTCTCCTTTCACTTTTTACAAACAAATTTCTCTCTCAAACCCTCATTTTCTTTCAATTCTCTCAATTAAGTCTCATTTTTAAGTGACAATTACAATTGTACAATAAGAAGTTTTTACTAAAAGAAGTTAATTTTTGTATCACATTCGCCATTTGGTAACATTAGTTGTTTGAATTAATATTTATTAGTCACTCACTTTTTTACATTAATTGTTAATTAATAAATATTAATTGCTTTAATTGATATTATTAGTTACTGATTATTTTAATTCATTATTAGTTAATATATATTACTTTACTTATATTAATATGAATCGTAATGTTTATATCAATGTTGATGATGAATATACACAACATGAATTAGTTGATTCTCTTGCTAACCCTCTTCTAACAGGATCATTTTATTATCTAGAGGCACGGAGCATTTTAAAAGAGTATCTGTAACTAATCCCGATAATACAATTGTAACTAAAGAAAAATGTAAATATTGTCCAAATTTACTTAGTGTTATATCAGCAGGTGGTACTAGTCATCTAAAAAGGTATGATCAAAGGTAATTAGAGAGTTCATCAATTGGTAATTTAATTACATTTTCATATGATCTTATACGTACACAAGATATAATAATTAATTATATTGTTGAAAAAGAACAACATTTTACCACTAGTGAATATCCCAATTTTGTTGAAATGATTCAAGGAGGTTTTATTCCTCAATGTCAAAGTTTTTTAAGAAATGCTACTAGAAACAAGATATTAAAGAAATTTTATGATATTAAATTGGAATTATTTAACATTTTTAAAGATTTGAATGGAAAATTTTGTTTAACATCTAATATGTGGTCAAATAGTGACTTAGAATATTAATACATTACTGCACATTATTTGGTAATGATTGAAAATTAAATAAAAGAATAATTTTATTTAGATTAGTTAAACTTCCAGACACTAGTCATTCAGTTGAGATATAAATAAGGAATGTATTATTTGAGCGGAGTTTGCAAAATAAAATATTTTCCATTAATTTAGATAATACAACATATTATAATCAGACTATAACCCATCTAAAATCAACTTTATAATTACTTATTAATGGTGATTTTTCATGTTCGTTATTGTACTCATATTTTAAACTTAATTGTTAAAAAAGATATGAATAAAAAAACACATTTTTACAATTTATTTTTGTTGATGAAGAATATTTTAACCCTATTATGCAAACACTCAAAAAATCATTTCAAGAATATAAGAATGTTTGTAATTGTAAATAGACCACTTACACAAACTACACCAGCCTCATCTCGAGATGGAAGCTCAATTATTTTTTCAACAATAAAAACTAGATGAATATCTCAAAATACAAGCGTAAGTAGTTTTGAATTACAGAGTTATTTGAATAACCCACCTATTGATGATGACGAGGATTTTGATATTTTGAATTGGTAGAAATCAAATGAAAATATATGACTTGTACTTTCACAGATAGCTAATGATATACTAATTGTTCCTATTTTTACAATAATTTTTAAAATAGCTTTTAATACAAGTGGACAAGGGTTAAGTGATTACTGCAGCGGAATTACCCCCAAAATGGTTGAGACACTTGTAATATCGAGAGATCATATGCATGTTTTTACAAAGAAACAAGATTGTAATGAAAAAGAGAGAATTTAAGACGATTTGAATGATATATGATTGGACTCCCTTGATGAATTGTCCAATTCCACTTATGGTTGATCAATAATTTTTTTTTTCACTATTTAATTTCATAATTTTTTTATTAGATTATTGAGATAGAGTATAATACAAATGCTTAGTACATTAGTAAATACCAATCTAATTAAAATTATTTAACTTATAGTAATCCAATTTCTCTACCATTACAATAATTTATATCTATTTTATTTGATAATATAAATTTATAATATTTCATTTAATTTTAAATAAAAATTATTCTTTGAATCTTATAATTTTTTTTCTCAAGTTGTTCATTGTTTTGTATTGTATTTTATGGCACAAAATAAAAATAAAAATAAAAATAACTAAACAAAATTAAAAAAAAAAAAAAAGTCTAAAAAGGCCAAGCCCAGCCCCAAGCCCAAATTTGAGTGAGATTGGGCTTAGTCTGAGATTTTCCACACATGACTCAGCCTAAGCCAAATTTTGGTAGAGCCCGCAACCTGATGATGGGCCAGCCAGCGCCCGGATGGAGCGGCCGTATTTACACCCTAGAGATGTAATCAAATCCACCGAATTGGGATAAGAGATTGGAAACTGGGTTTTGAAAATAAATAATACTATGCACTAATTAATGTATTAATTAATATATTATCAAATGATATGATATAATTTTAAAAATTTTAGGTATTAATAATTTTTATAATAAGTGCAGTCAGTAATAATGATATAATACTAATTGATACACTAATATGTATATTAATTGGTACCTGTGCCTGTTCAAAAACAGTGACAAGAAGGTGATGAATTTTTGTTTTCTGATTGCCATTGAATCTTATAATTTTTTTTCTCAAGTTGTTCATTGTTTTGTATTGTAGATATAATTTTAAAAAATTTAGGTATTAATAATTTTTATAATAAGTGCAGTCAATAATAATGATATAATACTAATTGATATACTAGTGTGTATATTAATTGGTGTCTGTGCCTGTTCGAAAACACTGACAAGAAGGTGATGAATTTTTGTTTTCTGATTGCCATTGAATCTTATCATTTTTTTTCTCAAGTTGTTCATTGTTTTGTATTGTATTTTATGGCACAAAATAAAAAAAATAAAAAAGTCTAAAGAGGCCAAATCCAGCCCCAAGCCCAAATTTGGGTGAGATTGGACTTAGTCTGAGATTTTCCACACATGGCTCAGCCTAATCCAAATTTTGGCAGTGCCCGTGACCTGATGACGGGCCAGCCACTTCCCGGATGGAGCGGGCTGTATTTACACCCCTAGACATATAAACGAAACCACCGAATTGGGATAGAGATTGGGAACTGGGTTTTGAAAATGAAAATAATGTTATTTGTATTAATTAATTCTTGAGTATTAATAATTTATATAATGAGTATTAATAATTTATATAATAAGTATAGTCAGTAATAATAATATAATATTAATTGATATATTAATGTGTATATTAACTGGTGCGTGATACCGCCGTTTGAAAACAGTCACAAGGTCATGAATTTTTGTTTTCTAATAGCCATTGATGAAACAAAACAGTGCTCAAATTACTCCACACTGTAATTTTAATGGGGACAACCATATTTCTTTATTAACTTTTAATTTTCAATCAAAATATTCACAATAATACTTAAAAAAATGTCATCGTAAAAATATTCCGGAGGCAGGGAAAACAAATGAACTCGAGTCTGTTTATACATATAAACAGGGAAAAATATTACAACCAGCGAATTGAAAATAAATTAAGCTCATCATCTCTCCTGTAATACAAAAATCTGGACAAGAACAGATAGAGAAAGAAACAAAGATTAACGAGGAGAGGGAGGGGAAAGGGGGGAATTAGAGAAGGGGAGATTGCGGAGAATGAGGAAACGAACTCGCCTTGGGAATGGCAGAGGGACTTGTTGGAACATATGCTCCGTCACCCTCGCCACCACTATTGTGTACATCTCCAACAGCTCCGTCATTATCGCCACCAGTATCATCTCTCTCTCTCTCTCTCTATCTCTTTCTACTTCTCTATTTCAATCTGATGCTATTTGTGCTCTACCGTTTGCCTGCTCTTATAAAAACACACTAAAACAATAACAAATTAATTGCGAACCACCTCTCTTTCGTCACCAAGCATGATCACTCAAATTTGTCTCCTCTTCCTTTGGTCTTCTTCCGTTTTCAGCATGTAGCACCATCCTTTTTATGGGGTGGGTTAAGTGTATTTTTCTATTCTCTCTCTCTCTCTCTCTCTCTCTCTCTGTCTCTCTCCAAATTCCCACAGATTTTCCAGCGGCGCCCGAGGGTGTGTTCCTGTGGTTACTCATAGATCTAGACCCAAGCCGCCAAATTGGTATATATTCTATATGTATGTGTGATATTTAGGTTTCGTTTGAGAATAGGTTAATTTAGTAATTTTTTGGTTATTTAATTAAAATATGAGCTAAAAAAATTAGTATATTTATGATGATTTTTTAACTTTTTACGAAAAGATGTGTAAAAAATAGAGAGAAAAGAGAATTTTTGACTTTTTAGTATAAATTATTGATTTTTTGACTAATTTAGTAACTCTTTGACTTTTTGACTAAAAAAGAAAGTTCCCAAACGAAGTTTTAATTATGATATACTGATATATTAATTATGATTTAATTATATATATATTTATTTATTGTGATTTTAATTATATATTATTTTAATTATGATAGAGATTCACATATTTAACTTATAAATTTAAAATAGGTTTCGTTTGGGAGGAAGGATTAAGTTGGATTTGGAATTTTTTTAATTTAATAAGGTAAAACATTATGTTCAATTTATAATTATTATATTCTTTTTCTCACAAAAAATTAAAAAATCATTTTCAAAAGAGATTTTTTAACCTCAGACTAAAATAATTAAAAACCAAAAAATCAACTTACTTCACAAACGAGCTCATATTGATATGGATAAGATATTGAATTATTAATGATTGCATATGTAATAAATTAAAGATTGATATACATAAAATTGTAAAACTTTTTTTAGAGATGTCAAATATATATATATATTTATATATTTGGTTATACAGTAAGATTGATATTATTTTAATTAGAAAAATAGGTAGGAACACTAAAATGGAAGTATTAATGATGTGACAATGGCCCTCACTCATTGCTTATGCCTTTTTTATTTTTTTTAATATTTCTAATACATTAGTAGTACTTTTTTTTTAATGATATGAATTATTGTTGTTTTAATTATCAACTAATAATTATTTGTTATATCATAAAATTAAATTATGGCATATATATGACAGCGAAATTAAATATTATATTTGGTGATAGTAGTAGATCTATCCAGAGACTACACTAGTGTTAAAAAAGATGCCTCATCCTTTAATGTCTGCACTCACCCTCGTCCTTATCCACTTCAACAACCTCTCAAATCTGATTTGATTTAAGGACAATGATTGGTGGTCACAAATTCTATGATTTAAATGGTTTGAAAATATCATTTTTTTTATGGACAATGATTGATGGATATAAATTTTGTGATTTAAATGGTCTGAAAGTACCAAAACGATCTAGGTACAAAATAACTCTAAAAATATCAAAACAATATTATTTTGATATTTTTAAACCATTTAAACCATAAAATTTATTAACACCAAACATTTCCCTTGATTTAATTTGCGATATACTTCTCGTAATAATTAATTCTTGCTTTATCTCAAACTTGTAGAGAGGAATACTTTATCAGACAGGAATTTCCACGGTCTAAAATTTAGATCGGAGGGACTCTTTTGATTGGTAGGATTTATTATGAATTTCGTTTTAGTAATTTAAAATATTTATTTTGTATATTTTGTTCATAAAAAAATTAGATTAATTCGATGATTGTAATTTTATTCAATCTATTATTTTTGTCATTAAAAAAATATTTTTTAAAAATATAATTATCATCGATTTTTTAATAAAAAATATAATAAATTAAATTATTGGATTGATTGGTTTGTTTACTTTTTTTTATATAAACGAAATATACGAAGTACTTAATAAATTGAACGGTTTAAATTATCAAAATAAAATTTGTAATCACAGGCTAAAACAATCACCTCCAATCTAAATTTTGGATAGAAGAAAATCCTCTTCCTTTGTCAAATAATGCCAACAGACATAGACACATTTTTGATATACATGAATATTTTTTATTCAGTTTTTAATTTAAATGTTCAAATAAAATAATTCTTTCAACTTTTTAAATTGATGACAACTGAACAACAGGTCATTTCATTCTATAGTATCATATATAAGTTATGATATTTATAAAATTAAATATAATAAATATCATATTTGAATCATTTACAAGTTATAATTAAAAAGCAATCAAACATAATATAAGACATAATTAATTTTTTATTATTATTATAAAAATAATATTATAATTAATATCATAATAAATCATAACAAACATCCTTACAAATTATAACTAAAAATTACAAGCATCGTAATCAGTTAGTCTCCCCAAGTTAGGCGAACATATCATATGAGAACGTGAGGGCTATTTAAATGATGAATTAGTAAAATCAATCTTAAAATATATTCTTTTACTATTAAAAAAAAACCACCTAAGAAATGCGTGTTGGCAATGAAAATATTGCTGATTCTACTTGTTTTCTATATTAACTTGACCATTACTCATGAAGCATCCATATGAATTATTGATAATTTACATATTTGATAAATAAGATAATTAAAACATTATCTTTTAGAGGGTGTTTGAGTTGTTGTAGGAGATTACAACTCCACCTCTATTCGGAGAGAATCTCTAAATATTTGATATAAAGAAAAACAATTATACGTATTATTATTGTGTGAGTTTACTTGAAAAATCTCTTGCAAAATTTCTCTATTTGTTCTTCCCTCTTAGGTTATCATTATAGAATTTAGAAATTTGGAGTGTGGATATTGTGGGGATATATTTTCTGAGTACCAACACGTGGTAAGGTGACGCCGACGTGTCAGCCGAGGTGCCACGTGTCCTGGTCGTGACGCCGAGGTGATCTCGGCAAGGCCGAGGTTATCTCCGAAGATATCGAAATCCGAGATAAATGGATAAGGAACAAGAGTCCTAGAATGAAAAGGGAACTCAACCTAGATGAGGGACAAGAGTTCTAGAATGAGAGAAGACTTCTTTGTATTAAGATAAGACTCTTAGAGAGTTTATCCTAATTTTACTGGGAGTTCAAGATTAGCAGTAATCCTGAGTCCATAGAAGTTAGGACTCTATTGGGACTAGGTTTATGTTGGCTATAAAAGAGAGGCACCCCCATGGGCCTAAGATATGCTTTTTAGGCTCAAGCTTGTGAGTTGAATAATTGATTATCTTTGAGAGATATACTGACTTGATCGTCGGAGTGCCCCCGGGTGGACGAACCACCGCGGGATTCTTATATTTCTGTTGCAGGTCAGTCAGGTGCCATCTATTCTGCCAGTACTCTCCAGCTAAATTACTGAGTTGACAGTGTGGTCGGAAAATTTTCCACACAATTTGGCGCTGTCTGTGGGAAAGAAAGAAGAATAGATGGCCAATGACGGACAGAAGGATCATACTAAAGACAACGCTCCTGCTGGGAATGGGAGATCTATCAACCTCGACGTTGAAGGGGACAATAGCAACACAGAAACTCGTGACCAGAGTCATGGAGTGAAAGACGCCGGCCAGGAAGGTGACGCACCAAAGACAACAGATCGAAGCGGATACTACAACGAAGATGACCTCCAGGTATGGAAGGATAGATACCTGCGGAGGAACGAAGACCCTTCCAGAAGGGATGCAAAGACAGTGGGCATGAGCGCTCCCAAGGAGATAACATTCAAGTATAGAACTCATCCTGAGTGAGCAGATCCCGAATTCCAGATCCTGGATCCTGGATCCGAGAAGACATGATCTCAGCCTAGACAAGTAGGCCCGAGAAGACGAGAGCTCAACCTAAGTGAGCAGATCCCGGATTCCAGATCCCGGATCCTAGAAGACATGATCTCGGCCTAGATGAGTAGGTCCGAGAAGAGAAGAGTTCAACCTGAGTGAGCAGATCCAAGATTCTAGCAGACAAGATCTCGGCACTTAAGTCCGAAAAGAGAAGAGCTCAGTGAGCAAATCTTAGATCCCAGAAGATAAAAAAGAAAACACACAAGGTTGGACTATAGTTAGCCAGGTTGAAGACCTTTTATAAGGTTTGCAAAGGAATATATGGAAGCCATGCAGGGGGCAGAAAGAAGAAGAATATGTTTACCACTTGTTGAAATTCTGTGTGAATTTACAAGTTGGTTAAATTGAGATGATGTTTACCACTTGTTGAAATTTGTAGCAATTTACAAGTTGGTTAAACCAAGATGATGTTTACCACTTGTTAAAATTTGTAGCAATTTACAAGTTGGTTAAACCGAGATGATGTTTACCACTTGTTGAAATTTGCAGCAATTTACAAGTTGGTTAAACCAAGATGATGTTTACCACTTGTTGAAATTTGTAGCAATTTACAAGTTGGTTAAACCGATATGATGTTTACCACTTGTTGAAATTTGTAGCAATTTACAAGTTGGTTAGACCGATATAATTCTGTGTGAATTTACAAGTTGAAGTTAAACCGAGATGCTATTTAACACTTATTGAAATTCTGTGTGAATTTACAAGTTGAAGTTAAACCGATGTGATATTTAAAACTTGTAGAAATTCTGTGTGAATTTACAAGTTGAAGTTAAACAGAGATGATATTTAACACTTGTTGAAATTCTGTGTGAATTTACAAGTTGAAGTTAAACCGAGATGATATTTAACACTTGTTGAAATTCTGTGTGAATTTACAAGTTGAAGTTAAACCGAGATGATGTTTAACACTTGTTGAAATTCTGTGTGAATTTACAAGTTGAAGTTAGACCGATGTGATATTTAAACACTTGTTGAAATTTTGTGTGAATTTACAAGTTGAAGTTAAACCGAGTTCATATTTAACACTTGTTGAAATTCTATGTGAATTTACAAGTTGAAGTTAAACCGATGTCATGTTTGACACTTGTTGAAATTCTGTGTGAATTTAAAAGTTGAAGTTAAACCGATGTGATATTTAACACTTGTCGAAATTTTGTGTGAATTTACAAGTTGAAGTTAAATCGAGGTCGTATCGGAAGAAGATTGGTTTAAACACTTGTTGAAATTCTGTGTGAATTTACAAGTTATAAATAAACCGAGGTTATGATAAAGGAAGATGGTTTAACACTTGTTGAAATTTTGAGAAAAATTTACAAGCTGAAGTTAAACCGAGGTTATGATAAAGGAT